GATCATCCTAGTATCAGGAAAAACTGAACATCTCCTTAAAAGTTAATTTTATCTTGCACACAATGTAATTTTCTTGTTTGACTTGGCTTCAAGGAAGCTCAGAGTCAACTATATGTCTAGTGACTGTAAAGTGGCTTACAAGTCATCCACAGCAAAGATGGATTTGAGCACATAGTGTGTGCTAAGCACTTTTCATATGGTTCTTTTCACATAATCATCACCTAAGACAGGCAAAATTATTATCTTTATTGCAGGGGCTGAATAATAGCCCCCAAAGATATCCAGGTCTTATTCTCCAGAAAAATGGGAATGTTATCTTATATGGCAAAAGGGACTTTACAGATGTGATTAAGTAAGAATCTTTCAATGGAGATTGTCCTAATCACAAGTGTCCTCATAAGACGGAGGCAGAGGGAGATTTGACACTGAAGAAGAAGGCAGTGTGGTAGCTGAAGCAAGATGCTACGGCTACTGGCTTTGGAGATGGGGGAAGGGGCTGACAGCCAGGGACCGCAGGGGAAGCAGCTGCAGCAGCTGGCGGAGGCAAGCAAAGAGATTCCCCCTTAGAGTTTCCAAGGGTGTGTGATCCATGCCCTTGACCAAATGAAGCTAAACCTCCAGAACTTTCAAAGAACAAATGTGGGTCACTGAAGCCACCAAGTGATAACCAGGACAGCAGCCACAGGAAACTTCTACATCCACTTTACAGTCAAGGACAGGAGACTCCTCTAAGGCATGTGTCCTGACCTCCCTGGCTTCATTATCCCTCTCCTCTTCCCTCTCCCTGCTTCTCCTAGTTCAGCTTCCAATCACGTGTCCCTGTGTAATGGGCCTCGGGTCCTGGTGCGATGGAGGCAGCATGTGAGTAAAGGCATTGGTGTGCACTGGCGACATGTGCAGGCGTGCAGTCCCTGCGATTTCTCCAACCCTGAGAATTGTCTTATGATCTGACGCAAGAAAGGCCCTTGACTGCTTTGGTTTCCCCTCATTTGCTTTTGTCACTTGACTGTAGTTGCACCGAGCAGGAATTCTGCTTTTTCAGAACATTGTGCTCACTTCCTGGCCAGTATTAAGAGACCAGGAACTGCTTCTGAAATTCTTTCTCCTCAAGGATTTTTATATTATTCAAAACAATTTCTAGCCTAAGATCTCCCCTTCCCACCGAAATTTTAACCCCAAAAAAGATAAGGGAAAAAATAAAGCATCAAACCCAGAAAACAGTAAATCCTTTGTATTTGCCAGCTGCCCCTCCCACATCTTTGTGCGTATGGGGATTCTAGAAGCCCCTGATGTGCATCAAGGTTGTGTGAACACCAGGGTTGAATGGAGTGTCACAATACAGAGCCTTTGCACTATGCTATCTGTGTGAAGGCCCTGGGGGACTGCCCAGCTATGAATCCAACAGCCAAAAGGGAGACCATCCCCATTCAGGGTGGGGTAGCAGCATTCAGTATCTGATAGCTCAGTGGCCCTCAAGAGATGAGGCCTGACCCATCCCTGGAGAAGCTCCCAGGACACAGCTTTCTTCTCTGGCTCCACTGTGTACCAAAGACTCCCTCTGACATTAAGGTTATTCAACTGGTGCTAGTTTAGGCTGTCATCATTTCTTTCCTGAGTTAGTGATTCTACAGGCTACAAACCCTGCCTGTACCTGCAAACAGCTCTCAATCTGATGTCCATGCCCTTACCCACTACCTGAAGGATGTTTCCAAAATGCAACATCCTCTTCATCAAGGGCATGCAGCCCAACTTAGGTTCTGCCAGAGAAACAGAACCAATGGAATTATAAGTATATATGTGCATAAATATATTCTACAAAGAAATTTATTATAAGGTACAGGCTCATATGATTATGGAGGCTGAGAAGTCCCACAATCTGCCATCTGCAAGCTGGTCGTGTAGGAAGCAGGAAGGATGGCGGTGTCGTGTGGAGGCCTGAGAGCCGGAGAGCGTATAGGGCAGAAGACCTGAGAGCCAGGGGTGCCCCCCGCAGATCAGCGTTCCAGCTCTGCAGGGTCAGTTAATGCAGCCTTTCTCCCCTTTCTTCTATTCAGGCCTCAACAGACTGAATGACCCACCCCTTCAACTCCCCTTACTGGTGAGGGTGATTTGCTTTATTCAGTCCACTGATCCAAATGCTAGTCTCTTCTGGAAAACACCCTCACAGTCACACCCTGACATAATGTTGAACCAGCTATCTGGTCACCCTGTGACCCAGTCAACTTGACACATAAATTCACCACCACACCAGGGCTCTGTCCCCATTTCCCACCCAGGCTGTCATTCCTTCCGTATCCCAGTGTTCCAGTCCTCCCACAGCTCCCTGAATGCCATGCCTAGCCACGTCTCCCTGCCTTTACATATGCCATTCTCTGTACCGAGGTTCTCCTTCCCAATCCCCACCTCTATTCCACTTGCCTTCTGACAAAACTCTACACAGCAGGAAATTAAAAGCATAGATCTTGAGTCAGCCAGACCTGGGATCAATTCATTTTAATTCACAAATATTTACTCAGTGCTATCACCCCTGGGATGTAATTCTGCCACAATTACCTGTGTGACCTTGGAAAAGTTACCTGACATCATTAACCTTCAGTTTAGCCATCTGTAAAATAAAAATAATGCATAGAAAGCCTGGCATATACAAACCTTCCATGAACATGAGATGCCATAATTAGTGTTTTTATTATTCTTTAAGGTTGAACTCAGCTTAATGGACAGGTTTGGATACAACCTCACCCTTTCCAACCACTATGTCCCCTGGTGCATGTCTTGTGCCTCTACTTAGGCCCTCACACCAAACATCTACTCTGTTGGTTAATTGTCTGATCCTCCCACTACTCCTGGACAAGATATATGTCTCCCCCACTTCTTGTTCTGAATGTCCAGAGTGTGGCTTGTGCCGCATATTCATTGACTCTGTGGAGCAGCTGCCCTACAGAGGGAGGAGTCATTCCCACAGGTGGATGACATGCCCTTGTTCTTTGCTGATGCTTCCGCTCCTCTTGTCTCTTCCGGCAGTGACTTGAAAGGCTGTGCCAGGCATGGCTGCAGGCTGGAGGCTGGTGGGGAAGATGGACCAGCCATGGCAACCTTTTATGGGAGGATGAACTGAAAAAACAAATCCTGAGTGGTCCACTCATCTCAGGTCTTACTTCTTAGCCTGCATCTAAAATGAATACACCTGGCCCTTGAAGAGCATGGGATAAGGGGGCCGAAACACCGCACAGTCAAAATCCACGTGCAGTTTTTGACTCCCCCAAAAAGGCAACTATTAATAGTCTACTATTGACTGAAAGCCTTACCAATAAACTAAACAGTTAACGCATACTTTGCATGTTATATGTGTAATATCCTGTATTTGTACAATAATGTAAGTTATAGAAAATAAGATGTCTTTTCAAATTGCAGCAAATCTCTGAGAAAATGTATAACATATTCATTGAAAAAAATCTGTGTATTAGCAGATCCATGCTTCCAACCCATGTTGTTCAAGGGTCAACTTCAGATGCCAGCAGGAAACATCTCATTCCCACGGGTAAAGCAAGAGTAAGTAAGGTCAATACCCCCAGCATCTAGCTATTCATTCTCTTTTTTATATTAAAAAACATTTGTATACTTCAATGTTTAAACTTCCTTTTTAAAAAAAATAAAGTCAGTTTGGACAAATGGCCAAGGAGAGCAGCCTGACCTTCCTGACCTCAGTGACAGTTCCCTGGGTGGCAGCTGTAGGGAGGGACCCACTATCTGCTCAAGTGCAACACCTCCACTGCTTTCCAGCTTATACTGGGGCCAAGAGATTCCTGAACAGCATCTCCTTTCCACCCACTTCAGTCCAAAGGGCATTTTGTCCCATCTACCTCTAAAGTGTCCTATTTCACAATGTCATGCCTTTCATGAGCCAGTCTCTCTAATCTTCAATCAAGATGTAATCCTGAGACTAGGCTCATCTCTTCCCATTCAGGCCCTCTTTATGGACTGAAGAGCATCTCCCCAAATTTCATATGTTGAAGTCCTAACACTCTGTACCGTAGAATATGACTGTGCTGGAGACAAGGTCCTTAAAGAGGTGATTCAGGTGAAATGAGCTCATGTGGGTGGGTCCTACTCCATTATGACTGGTGTCTTTATCGGAGGAGAGACACACTGGGACTGTGTGGGTACAGATGAAAGATCGTATGAAGACAGAGGAAGAATGTGGTATGTGCAAGCCCAGGAGGTCGGCCGTAGCGGAACCAACCCGACCGGCACATTCATTTTAGACTTCCAGCTTTCAGAACTGTGGGAAAATACATTTCTGTTTTTTAAGCCACCCAGCCTGTAGCATTCTGGTATGCATTCTGGTGCAGCTCTAGTAGACTAATATACACCCGAAGGCTTGGTTCAGATCCTGATTATGGCAGTTCCCTGCATTCTGTTCATCAGGCTGCCATTTTTGCTGGTATATATGTTTGCCCAGTGGGCTCATGACCAAGGTTCTGTCCCTTTTGTTATGTCCAGCCCCAGAAGCAACCCTGACTTCCACGCCTGCAGGATGAGTGTTTGCTGGATTCATGAGCCATGCTGCTGCAGTGGGGCTCAAGGAGTGTCACAAGACAGGCAGGGATTGTGTCCTTTGGCCTAAGTGATCTTTTTGCTCAACTTGCAAACTACATATGCTGCTGTACAATTTGGGCACGATGGCTATCAGAAGCATCTCTTACTGATTTCGAACTGATGAGCTTTCATGCTTTGGTAGACTTCTCATTTTGTTCTTTTCTAGCTCTGGTGTTAGTTTTTAGCATTGCTGTGTTTAGACTCTCAGTGCCTTTTCTGTGCACTTTGTTGCTCGCGTCAGGCTTTCTCCCACTCCCGACACCTCTGACTCCCAAGGGCTCCCTTGTAGACCGGCCACAAGTAGAGAAAGTGCTCTTTATCCACCCTGGCTAAACACCTCAGCAGCCCACATCTGGGGGCCTTAATTTCCCCATAAACACAAAGGGATGTTTTTTAGGCCTTACCACAACTCTCGTAGAGCACTTCCAAGCTCCCGTCCCTGCAGGCTGTGTGTGTCGGCCAGGCTTTGCCACCGCCGTTGGGAGAAATCAGAGTCCAGATGAGGAAGGCAGCCGTGAAACCCTTCATGGTGTGGCCCTGTGTGGGATCAACAGAAAAACAACAGGCCCAATAAAAAGGGCCGTCAGGGTTCTTCCTGTCCCCTCACTAAAGGAGTGAATATTCAGTTTCACTTCTCATATTTTATACTCCTGGGAACCAATGTGAGAAGCAAAAGGGAGTGAGCAGAGACATTTGACTAGCACCCCCTGCCATGACCTTTGGCACTTGAATCAGCAGGTGAGGCAGGTCTGGGTCTGGGGTAGGCTTCATGTTGACTTTCTGCTCTCACAGGGAGAAGCCAGCAAGTAAGGCATGACCTTGTACCCCCGACCCCCAAAAACAGCCCTCCTTAGAGCCCCTGCCCCAAGGGAGAGTGGTGACCTTGGGAAAGCTAAACCACAGGCTGCCATGTGCTTTCCATCAGCAGGCTCCCGGCCTCTGCAGGCTCCTGGTGGGAGCTGTGCACCAGGACCAGGGTGGGCAGGCAGCAGCTGGCATTTTAAGGGCTGCGGAATGACACTGGGATCCAGAATGAGGCTTCTGCCCTATCAGCACGGTTCTCTCCTCTGGCTCTGCTCTTGGGATTAGGGTTTCAGCAGTGATCCGTGCAGCTGCGGGAACAGGGCCTGCTCTGGGAGAGGCAGATGGGGTCCCTGGAGAAGGGGAGGAGGGACAAGCCCTGACAAGGGAACTGTGTTCTATTTCTAGATTTTGGGTTTGGTGGAAGGGGTGGGGAAAGATGAGGAAGTGAGGGCCTCCCTTTTAAGACTGGGGATTTAATTGTTTTGGTTGTTGTTGGGACTGTTAATGTCACTTCCCACTTTTTTTTCAAAGTCAAGGTTCTATCCCCTATATTGCCATCTCTGTTATCCTGCATGGAGACAGCAACGTTTCTGAACTCCGATTTCCCACCCTAGCCCCAAACTCCAGCTCAGCTTAAGAGAACCAAGGGAGTGCTAAGGCCAGCAGATTTTAGTAGCAAAGAACACTATTGTCCTTGGGAAGAAAGCATTTCTCTGAGCCCACTAGGTAAATTGACTATTTCTGCCAATGGCCAAGTAAGAAGTAAAGTTACCTCAAGACTTTTTGAAGGAAATGGGATTTAATTACCAATGAAGACAAACAAATACATTGACTTAATTGATGGATACTTGGATTTGTTGGGAGACATCAAGGAGTAGTCATCTGGGGAAAGAATGGGTCTAGATTGATTTTTCTTTTAGGTATTCATCTGTGTGTAAGTTCAGTGATGCTGGCTTCCAACAGCGATCCCCCAAGTGTGGTTCTGGACCACGCATCCGTCTCAACTGGGAGCTGTTAGAAACGCAAATTCCTGGGCTAAATGCAAGACCCACTGAATTGGAAACTCCTGGGTGAGCCCAGCATTCTGTTTTAATAAGCCCTCCGAGTGAGTCTGATGCATCTTCAAGTTTCAGATGCACTGGCTTTTGTGGAACTCAAGGTGAAAGTTGAGCCCAAGAGGAGAGGTGGGTTAGTTGCTCTAAGGAAAGACAAGGTAGCTGCCTAGTCTATGTGGGTCGGGGGGACGCGTGGGCAGCTGTGCTGTGAACAAGAGCTTTGGGAGGAGGCTTCTGGCTGGAGCTGTTGCCCTGGGGGAGGCCTTGTGACCACTGTCAGCTCCAGCCCTGGGGACCTGTCAGGGCTGTAGGAGTTGTTTAGAGTGAGGAGAGCCCCTGAGACTAAAACCGTGTATCCCCACAGAGCGGGGCGTGGCCAACCCACCCGGGAAGGGTCCAGGAGCACAGAGCAGGGGCAGACGTCTGGGCAGAGAGCGGGGAGCAGCAGCCAGCAGAGGAACAGGCCATCAGCACACCGGGCTACAGATTTTAGTGAATCAAAGGACCTAGTGATGAAAAGAATCATAAAAATCAAGGATTGCATTAGCATTTGGAAATATTCAGAATGGACGGAGAGGCTCCAGAGGTGGTGCTGCTGGAGCGATGGTGCTCAGACTGGAGTGGGCATCACGGCAGCTGGGCGGCTCATGCACACATGGATGGCCCTGCCTGACACCGAGGGTTTCTAGGACCAGATTGAGAGAGTTTAGGAGGGGCCTGAGAACTTGCATTGCTTCCAAGTTCCCAGATGATGCCATTGCTGCTGGTCTGGGGGCCACAGTCTGAGAAACCCTGGTCTAGGTGTTAGGATTTAGTCTGTTACAGAATGCATAATAAAAAAAAAATCGTCTTAGTCCTTAACATCCTTGTGTTAAAAGACAGAAATAACAAATAATACAGACAGGAATAAGGAGCGCTCTTACTGAGAACCTCTCTAAGGAGTGTTACTTCCTGAGAACCAGGATTTGACTGGAATCATCATCATGACTCACCTGGTCAGTCAGTCCGGTGTTGAGTTCTTTAACGAGAAGCTTTGTAAAGACAACCGAAGAATTCATTGAGAATGTCCTGCTTCCTAACTAGAAAATAAAATTAGCGTCAGTGTATGGTAGTTATTTAAAATATGGTTATATTCATGTAAATAGCAACCAAATACACTGACAGGCCCTGATACTTTTACACCTTCTCAGGTTGTGGCTAAAGAAGCTGAGCCGTCCTGGGCTTGTTAATTTCTCTTCTACTTCTTTTGAGGGTTTTCTTCTCAAGCTGCTCTCTTTTCACAGTGGTTTGCTTAAGGATGGAGACTTTCTTTTCTTGCAGGGTAAAATGTTACCATCAGGACGGCTGCCTCTAAAAGGATACTTAAGAAGGAAACTCATGTTTAAGGAGAGACTTTAAGGATAAAAGGAGAGACTGAGGGCAAGGGTCCAATTTACCTAAGTAAGTAAGGGTCCAGCTGCTCTACAGGAGAAAATACGATGGTTAGGTTTACTGCAGAGAGCAGGGGAAGGACAGAGAAAGGTGCGGTGGGAAAGAGGGAGGAGGAGCGGGCTGGTGAAAGGCTGCCCCTGGGGGGAGTGCAGCAGCCTGTCTGCAGGTGGGACAAGCCAGAGGCCTTTTAAGAACAGATTCAAACTTGTTTGCTGTGCACTGTTCTCTGTGACAGCCTCACTACTCTGTGACCTGCACAAGTTCAGTGAAGACTTTTGCACCAGGAATGCCGTGTGTGTGTGTGTGTGTGTGTGTGTGTCTGTGTATGTGAGTGGGTACTTAGAATAGGGCATTCTCAGCTTTCATCATCAGCTTGTACTTCCCAAGGGAATTGCAGCCCCCTGGGGAAAGTGGCTTGGGCCAACACTGCACTGCCCCAGTCCACGGAAGCGGCTTCAGGCCAATTGTATCTCCATTTCCCATGCCAGCAGATGGCACTTAGCCCTAACCAATCATCCTTTAGCCCTGAACATGGATGACGTAGCACTCTTGGTTGCCAATGGCAAATGCGCCTTCCTCATCACTGGTACTCAGCTGTGAGGGCTCTCCTTTAATGCCCTCAGGCGTTCATTATCTCAGGCGGCAATTTCCCTTTGAATAGCACTGCCGCTTTGCTCCTTTTCTCTGGGGCCTGTCACTGTGTTTTTGCCACACTAAGTGGGACAACACAGGTTTGACCTCTTCTTGCTTTTGTCTCCCAGACTGAGTGCCACCTAAAAGCAGTTTGCCTACTGGGCAGAAGTCAGGAAGCTTTGCTGCTTCCTGTTTAACACCGTTTTACCCCCGCCCCAGGCTGACCGCTGGGGGTTTACTCTTTGGTTATTTTTACAACAACTGTTCTGTGGGCCACACGAGTATCTTGGAGAGTTGGTGCCAGCCTACTGAGCTTTTCAGTGGAGTATTGCCATAGTCTCCCAGACTTCTGGAAGATTCATCCTAAGTGTGAGATCTCCAGACTCTTGGATTCTTAATTTCACACGTTATGTTTATCTAATAGAAAAGCACAGAAACAGCCTGCTTTCTGCAGAAAAGAGGGAAAAAAATTTCTATTGGTCTACATGCTTCTTATGCATTTAGCAAATACTTATTCAGCCCTCCAGCATGCCAGATAGAATTTCAAGCACCGGGAATATGGCGAAATCCCTATTATCACAGAGCTTACTTTCTAGTGGGAGGATATGACAATCAAAAAGTTTGTGTAGTACTATCATTTAATAAGAGACTTCGCTTCTTAAAAAATTGCTGGGGTTTCATGTAGAAAATGGACTGAGCTTTATGAAATATTTTCAGCTTACTATTTTATATATAAGCTAAACTTTTTTTAAAGTTTGCCCCAGACTATTATTAGCTCATCGTGGCTTTCCCATAACTGTTTGCTTCAACAAACTGTCAGAGGCTTATCTGAAATACTGCCTCATTCCCCCACCAATTTCCTTATTACTGCCCCATTTATTGTCATCACTAATGTTTAGTTATTCTGGGGACATAATATGCAAAGTACTTGGTTCCTAAATGGGTCTATAAATTCTATGACAAACTACAAACAGAAATGAATTTTGCTCATTTGAGGAACATGTATTCTGGGCCAAGGAAGAGGTGGGCTCTATAAATCAATCTGATTAATTTCCCAGTGATGAAAAGGGCAACAAATTGCAACGTCCAATTAAGGCAGAAAAAAACTGCTCTGAGATTCAGAGAAAGAGCAGTTCTAGTCTGAAAGGACTGATGCACATTGCCTAAAAATTCTCTGTAGTGTGGGACAAATTAGCAACTTGTAGCTAAAACTTTCCTTAAAATGAGATTGTGCTCCAAATTTCATTTGTGATAGGATTGAAGTGATGTTAGTAAGCTGAAGAAAAGCACTAGGGAGGAAGCCAGAAGTTTGGTAAAGAATGGAGAGAGTTCCTTTACATGGTAGGAAGAGGAGCCCTAATTTGCTATTGTAGCTTGAACCCTAGGCTCAGGCTTCAGTATTTATCTCTAACTCTGGTTGGTTGCAGAGCTTCCAATTGGCCATTATGGGATTGGTGCTTGTCACATTTAAACCAGATTATCTGAGAGCACATTGTGCTGGACTAGTAGGTGGTAGTTGGAATAAAACGACTTGCCCATTCTTTGCATCAGACCCCTGGAAATTTTCTTGACTTCTTTCTCCTGGCAGTGGCGGCTGAATCTACCTAGATGTCTTCTGAAGAGGGAACATGGACAGCTGTCTATTCCCTGAAGCAATAAGCTTACTCAGCAGCAATTCTGACATCTAAATAAAG